CCAAATTTTTCCCCTCTTTGTTATAAATCCTCCGAAATAGATTTTGTATATCGCACCGATTTGAAATCGCACGATTTGCAGAACATGCCTGTATATCACATTTTTTGTTTAATTCAAGGCCTATCAAAGAGGTTTAGAGCGTTTGAGTAAAAATATTTGCCGGTATTTTGTTGTTGCTTCTGGTATCGAAGGTGCCAAAAACTGTTCTGATTCAAAGCGTGCCATGAGAAATACGAAAAAGGTAAAAAATTTAAATTGAATAAATGGAAATTGTTGCAACTTTCTTTCTTAGTAAATTGGTTCGCTTTACGTAGCATTGATCCATCATGTGCCAGGCCCAGTAATCAGCGGTTGTGCTGCTGAGTTGGGCGAGCTTTCCAAAAGCTGCTATTTAATCGCTGGTTTTGTATGGAAAATGTTTCATGCAAATAGATTTTAACAATTTAGAATTTTTGTGAGAAGAAATGTAAAATATTTGACATTTTCGAGAACAAATAAAATGAAAAAAATCAAATCAGCTGCTATAATGATATTACCTGTTTAATGTGCCTTGGTTTAATTGTATTTTTGGAATAAACAAAGTTCTTTTTCCTTCTGTCAGTAAACTGTTTTTTTTTTTTACAAATAGTATAAATAAGCAATGGGAAATAAGGCAAAATTTGTTTTGCTTTTGCTTTGTGGGAAATACTTATTCTTTGGAATTCACAATCACACTGTGAAAGAGCGAATTAACACGATTTTAGAGGCAGTCGAGAACGAAGTTATACAAAGTTTGAAAACTTGTGAATTTTTTTGTTTGCAACTTGCCGAAAGTACCGACGTAGTAGGACTTAATGTTCTTCTCGGGTTAGTGAGGTACCCATTTGGAATGCAAATCGAAGAAGAACTTCTGATGAGCGAAGTACTCGAGACTTACACCACTAGTGACGAAATTTTTAAAGCTATCGACAAATTTGTACAGAAAAATGGTTTGAAATGGAGTAAGTGTGTGGATATTTGCAGTGGTTGTAAAAACGAAAAGGGCGATGTCTAGGATGAAGCAAGAGGCAGAAAACGCCACGAGAAGTCACTGTATGATCCGTCGGGTTTCCCTGGGGACTAGGAAGATGCCGCCACCAGATTTAAACCCGTATTGGATGACGCTGCGAAGATAACGGAGGCCTGCGAAATTAAAATATATCTTTGGTTTTTTCTAGCACGTCGACATTTTTTTTTATAGGTTACATGTATATTTTAGAATTTCTAGCAATTTGCATGAAAACCCCGTAAGTAAACAAAGTAAATCAGAAAAACGTATGTAACTTCGAAGTTAAAGCCAAGAAAATTTATGACAGCCTGTTTAGGCCAACGGCCTAAATTTGTCGCAGCATTTTCGACCCACCCTAATGCCTAACATAACTTCATTATTATGTCAACTGTCGAACTGTTTACTATTATGTTACTTATGCTAAATCCCTTTTCACCAGCAATTTAAATGGAAACTGATTTTTTATTTTCTTACGCTTTCCATATAAAATTCCAAAAACTAAAATCATGTTTCACTTAAATTACTTTCGTGAAATTGGCTGTAAAAGTTATTTTCTTAGCTTTAACGCACATTACCAGCGTTAACTTTGAAGGTTTAGTAAAAAACATCGTCGAATATTTTCCCAACATTGACTCTGAGGATGTCTACAGCTGGATAACAAACCCGTTTTTATGAGGCCCGAAAAGTAAACCTACTGACATGACCAATTAAGCTTTTAAAAACCTTCTGGACATCAGTGAAGACAGCACTTTGATTATTAAATACTACCAAAGGAGACAAGAAAGTTCTGGATGCAAGTGTATGCATAAAACACTGCTGTTGGCAAGATTGCATTAAAAATACTAGTGACTTTTACTTTTACATTTCTATATGATGCTGTATTTTCAACGAAAGCTTACATAAACAAGTAATTTTTAAGCAAAAAACTAAACCGCCTTCAATTCTCATATACAAATTTAAGATTATCGGTTATCTCTACATGTTCCAATGATCGGATTTAAATCAAATTAGAATGGGACCGCCTGTGAGGTAACACCTTTCCTCTAAAAAAGTACAGTAATCGGTTAACGTGGTCCAAAGTTATGCGGTAACATACATTAACAAAAAAAAATATTCCAGCGAATTGATAACCTTCTCCTTCTTTTGAAGTCAGCGTCAAGTGATTTCAGGGTAAAATTGTCAAAGCTCCCAATAAACTTAAAGGTAATAATGAAATCAGCAAAACAATTTCAGTCCTCAGATTAAACCTAAAGGAGCATAAAGTTTGCATTATGTTTTCTTGTTTTAGTCGACATTTGAAGAGTAGGGGTGCCGCAAATTTTTTTTAGCACAACAAGGGTGCCGCGGAGAATAAAGTTTGGGAACCCCTGTCCTTTTGAATATATTCTCTCTGCACAACATTTGAAAATAGCCTCCACATCATGGCCAGCGTTGCCGTTTTGCTTAAATTTAAGCAAAATTTATTAGTTTTTTTTCTTGCTTGTTATAAGGGGCTGCCCATATATTACGTAAGACCTTTGTGGGGGAGGGTGGGTCTAGAATTTTCTTACTTTTTCTTATTTAAAATTGTTCTTTATAAAATACGAAAATTCACCCAATTAAAGTACTAAATTGCATTGAAATTAAAAAAATACATTAAATACGGAGGATATTACAATTTTTTACAACTTTTGCTCTAATTTTTCTATTTTTCTAAAAAAAAGTTACTCTTCGGTGTCTATTATAACCGAAAAATGCAGCTCGAACACAAACAGGCGAAAACTCCCTTACGTAATATATGGACAGCACCTAAGCATTCACAAAAAGCTTCACTTGATATTTTCACGACGCGGGCGAGAGCTCATGTGTGTCATCACAGAAAATGAAACAGAGGATATATTTGAGTGGGTGAATCAAGCAGAAATTTCAGTGGACCGTGAAAATGATATACCTTTGAGTGAAAAAGAAGTACGAGATATCCCTGTGGCTACTCCTCTTTCAGATTGGCTGGCTGGACCGTGGACCAAAGAAACCGACAAGAAAGAATGACTACTATAACTATGTAATGAAGTTTTTAAGACTGACTAGGCATACATCCTGTATTTGTTTGATCGAAATATATAGTATTTTCTAATGTTTAATTGAAAAAACATTTCTAGGGGATTTTAATCTTACGTAAGATCTGCGGCGGGGGGAGGGGGATCAATTAAATCTTACAATTTATTACGTGAGGGGAGGGGGGTTCAAAACAAGCGAAAACTCCCTTACGTAATATATGGACAGCCCCTAATGTAAAATTTTTCTTCGTTTTGCACAATTTTTTAATTAAAATATTTAAAATGACACATTGACAAATACGTAGTTTAGGAAGAACCTGCCGGAAACTATACAATATAGCAAATGCATGTATAGAATTTATAACAACAACCACGCTGTTAAGTTTAAATAGCGGTAAATCAGCTGTACTTGATAGTAGTAGGATGAATCCCTGCTTAAATCTACAAAAAGAAGTTTGATAAGGAGATGTGGTGATCTCCGAAATAGCTGCTATAACTTCTACCGCTTCGACTTTGTCGCTTTGTACCGGCGTACCTACATCTACATACGTATACACTCTCAGTGGCAATGATGTTCACGCATAAATTTTTCTCCTTGTAATATTCTTTTTCTAGCTAAATAAAATATATCCCTGTCCATATTTTTTATACCAAAAATTCTTTACCTCAATGTCGGTCCGCACGAAGAAATAATTTCTATCTGTTCACTCGCGTTTTAATCTACATCATCGCCTAAGCTAAAATTTACTTTGAAGTCTTAATGCTTTAAAATAGGCAAAAGTTTATTTAAGTTTTTATCGCGACCGCTCTAAAGGCAGAATTTGCAGCCAATTAATAAGGGGCGAGCGCTACATTGATTTTCACTACGCTTTTGATAAGAAATTGATACAGTGTCACGAGGACGAACCTAGGAGGCGGAACCTAAACTACACATACCTCTGTGAATCCTCTACAGTTTGACTTCTGTTGGGAATAAGTTTTATCACAGAAGGAACCATATTACCTAGAGAAAAATTACGGAATGAAAAATCACCGAAATTCAAAATTTTGAAGAACTACTTCAACTCAATTTTCTTGAGAGCCACCTTAAGTCGTGCTATTGAGTATTGACGTGTTTGGAGCATACAATCCACCACAAAGGGATCCATCCCATTACTTTGTAGTTCATTTTCTATGATACTTACATTTGCTTTCATTTTAGTTCCTAATAGGTCGGCAAAAATCCTCCGGCTGAACCCTCCACGAGGGTGCCGACTGGAAATGGGTACTACAGAGGATTCTGTGCGATGTCAGAATGGTGCTCAGCTAAGATCAGGAATCAGTGCTATGTGTAAACTCCTTAATAGCTTAGTCATATGGAAATGGTTTTTGATCGTGGTTTGGAGGTCTGAAGGGGCTGGATCAAGGCGTCACGCGTACCGTACCGAGGATCGGCCAGGCTGGGGGCCCCTAAATAGCCCAGTCGCGAACGGAGCCCTCTGGGAGGCGGCCACACCCAGGATGTAAGTAGGCCTTACCTGGGCATCGCGGATCTCTGCCCGGGTGGACGACCCCCTTTCTCCGCAGCCCGTGGGAACAAATATGGACAAAAATCAAAAAACAACAACAAGGGTCTCGGCCCACTAAAAAGGGGCTCAAGCGATGCAGAGTACCTCACCCAGCCGTAGTGCGGTAACAAACAGCGGGAAACCAAGGCTAATGGTGAAACCGGGCCAATCAACTGCAACAATAAGGAAAGCGGCGGTGGGGATGCTGAAAGGAGTCCACCCTGGGAAACTCCTGGCACCAGTGGATGCCAACCTGGCATGCAGATTGCAGCCGGGGATAAGGCTGAATCTGGGGCGCAGGCCCCAGGCGGTCCTCCCGCGACACCCACGGCCTTCACGAGGCCTGACCAGAGGCCAGAGCCAGCTACAGAGGGCTATCGACAGAAGAAGATGGCTGCACGAATCCTGCAAAGGTTCACCACTACGCCTGACCTGTGTAGCAAGGCGAAGGCAGAGCATGTGAAGGAGATCCTCACAGAAATCAACTGGGCAAAGGCCGTCCTGCCCAATTACCGCAAGCCGGAGGAGAGACAGCCGCAGGCGCCCTACAGTAAGCGCAATAGATCGGGGGGAAATACGCCCAACAATGCAAAGAGGGTCAGAACGCAGGGGCCTTCATCTGCTGAAGTAGCCAAGGAGCAGATCCTGCTTGGCGTCATTGACGAGAGCGATGAGGACAGCCTAGCCCTGAGTCAGCAATGGAAGTGGGTAAAAGCCGCGATGGCCGACATTGCTATCACCATCATGTTGGAGAATTCGCGACCTCTGCCAACCTGCAAGGGAGCGGGGTGGTTGCAAAATAACATCCGTTTTATAGCATGCGAGGATGTTGGATCAGCGGATATATATAAGAAAACAGTCGCAGGCATTGGAGAAGTCTACCCTGGTGCGAAGCTCAGGGCGGTCGACTTCAAGGACCTACCGGTGCGACCGAGAGCGAGAGCATGGTTGCCTTGCAAGCCAGCGGAACCCGAAAGGATCCTGCATACCATAAGGCTCTACAACCCGGAGCTACCTACCGAAAATTGGAAGGTGGTAAAAATCAATGAAAGCGGTAAAGCGACGATGCAGGTTGTCCTGCTTCTTAATAAGGACTCCATAGAGTTGATGGAGCAAAAGAGCGGGGTGATATGGTGACATGGGCAAAATTAAGGTCTACAGCAACGACGTAAATGTAGCGAAGAACCTGATCGCGGAGGTAGAGCCGGAGGAGGCCAACAGCGACGTGGAGATGGAGGAGGAATCCGAGCAGGGTGATCCGATGGACGACCTGACCGGGGGTTATGCCTCATCGACGTCTTCGCTGAGGGTCGGACGCATGCTTCGGCTTTATACGGAGGAGGAGTTGATCGAGATGTCGGTAGACGCGGTCATCTCCACCCTAATAGGCGACGTGGGCGATAACGGCCAAAATGGTGAAGGTATTGCAGATTAATCTTCACCACTGTAAAGCAGCTTCAGCTGCACTGCTGCTCCATCTAACAGCTAAAGGGGCAGCCGACATCATCCTAATCCAAGAACCTTGGGTGGTGGGACAAAACATTTGCGGGCTGAAAGCGCCGGGCTACAGACTGGTAAGTGGAGCCTCAACGGGCAAACCAAGCACGTGCATATTGATAAGTATCACAGTAAAGTGTCTCTTTCTTCCACAATTTAGCGACGAGCACACAACAGCGGTCAGTCTAAGTGTAAACGGACGACCAATTAAGATGGCATCCATGTACCTAGCGCACGACAAGGAGGTGCCAACTATCTGCATAAAGGACCTAGTGGCCAGCACGAGGGAGGCACTAATTTTGGGAGGTGATGCGAATGCTCACCATCATACCTGGGGCAGCTCCGACGATAACGAACGGGGTGAGTCACTTTTTAATTTCATATTTAGCTCTAAGCTTGTTATTGCAAATAGGGGGACTTTACCCTTATCTCTGAGAATGCGAAATGTCTGGTCGGGAAGTGGAAGGTGTTCGAGGAGCACTCATTTTCCGACCACCGATATATCCAATTCGAGATAGTAGGGGGAATGCCCAAGGCTCCTCCAACTAGAAACTTGCGAAATGCCAACTGGCATAGGTATCGGGAAGAGCTGGATAGGCTTTTGCCAGAAGATAGAGAGCCGACTACTCCAGCAAACCTAGAGGAGCTGGAATATCTTGTCGACCATTTTACGGGGGCCTGCAGTAAGGCAATTGACATTGCATGCCCAAAAAGCAGCACCGAGATAGGAAAAAGCCACCCTGGTGGAATGAAGAAATCAGGATTTCACGCAAGAGCTGCAAGAAAACCTTCAACCAGGCCACTGCGTCTGGTAGTGAGGGACATTGGGAGACCTACAAGACAACGTTACGGGAGTACAAGAAGCTCCTAAGAAGGTCGAAAAGAACCTCATGGAAAGACTTCTGCAACGGGGTGGAGTCTATCTCATAGGAAAGCAGGCTCAGAAAGATACTCTCAGGTGCTGCCCAGAAAGCCCCAGGAAGCTTGCAAAGACCTGACGGCTCCTGGACTGAGACCGAGGAGGAATCACTGGATCTGCTTCTTTGCACAAACTTCCCGGGTGCCGAGGACAGCATGCCGGTACAGCCACATCTAACTGGAGATCTTTCGGTCACTGGAGACTTCCTCACTAGGGAAAAGGTCATCTGGTCTATTGGGACAATTAAGCCATATAAATCACCAGGTCTGGATTGCATTGCCCCCATACAGCTGCAGCAAACACTTCAGCTAAGCTCAGCGTGGCTAAACGCTATAATTAAGGGTGTATTAGCTCTTAATCATATCCCTAGAAAGTGGAGGTAGTCAAGAGTGTTGTTCATCCCCAAGGAAGGGAAGGCGTCCCACAATAACCCAAAGAATTTCAGGCCCATCACCTTGTCGTCATTTCAATTGAAGGTTATGGAGAGACTGGTGGAGGTCCGTATCAGAGAGTCGGTTGGTGACGGACTCTCTACCACACAACATGCTTATACGAAAGGTAGATCTACAGAAACGGCGATACATGAAATAGTGTCGCATATAGAAAGACCACTAGACATCAAAGAATATACGCTAGCAGCCTTCCTGGATATAGAGGGCGCCTTTAACAACATCATGCCGGGCGCGATAACGGCAGCACTGACGGGCCTGGGCATCGACTCGCGCTTAGTTGCGCTCGTAAACCAAATGCTGAGATGCAGGGAGGTTCGGGCGGAGCTAGCGGGGGTATCGTTGACCAGGATCGTAGAGAGGGGCACCCCGCAAGGGTAGTCCTATCCCCTCTATTATGGGTCGCAGCGGTAAACTCACTGCTGTGTGGCATGGAGGGGGGTGGCTGTAAGGTTATTGGGTATGCGGATGATCTTGCACTAACAGTAAGTGGGAAATTTCCACAGACCTTATGTGAAATTATGCAGGTAAAACTGAAGGAAGTCGGGAGTTGGACAAAAAATAACGGGTTAGGGGTAAACCCAAACAAAACACAACTTGTACTTTTCACGAGAAGGTAAAAAATCCCCCCCATTGATAACACCAAGGCTGGCACAGACCACACTAAAATTAAGCGATTCTGCTAAATACCTGGGGATAGTCCTAGATATAAAATTAAGCTGGACTCAACAGCTGCAGGAGAGCAATCGGCCAAAAATAGGGTCTAACCCCGAAGCTAGTGCACTGAATATACATCGCCGTGGTGAGGCCCATACTTCTGTATGGCGTAGTGGTATGGTGGCCAGTGCTGGAGAAGAAAGTAAACCGTAATAAATTACAAAAAGTGGAGAGAGCGGCCCTGATCTGCATTAGTGGTGCTCTCCGCACAACACCTACTATGGCATTGAATACGATCCTTAACATCATACCTATAGATATTATAGGACGACACTAAGCTGCGTTTGCAGCCCTAAGACTACAGGGGCTTAAAAGCTGGAAAGCGGCTCGTTGTGGTCGCACTACGATTCTGAGAAACTGACAACTACCGAGTATGGCAGAGCAGTTCGCTTGGCACCTGGTATGGGTACCGGGGCACAGTGACATACCAGAAAATGAGAAGGCAGACGAGCTTGCAAGGGCGGGTACTTCCTCTCCACTTTCACCAGCCTGGAAGAGGATGGGTATGCCGCTCGCTTCCTGCAGGCTCTTACTAAGGGAGAACTTTTTTGAAGAAGTGGCCTCCAGATGGGATCGCACTGAAAACTGTAATACAATGAAGCTTACATGGCCAAAATGGGATGTATAGAGATCGAGAGAAATTCTTACTCTCAATAAAGGCGATATGTCACTGGCCATTGGTCTGCTCACAGGATATATCCTGATAGGAAGGCACGCAGAACGCCTCGGGGCTAGTCACAATGACTACTGCAGGAGCTGCCACGACGAAGAAGAGCCTGAATCAATAAGGCAGTTACTCTGCGATTGCCCAGCACTAGGCAGGAAAAGACAGAAATTCCTAGGTATAGGTCTTCTAGACGATCTAAGCGCAACTGCTTAGTTGGGAATACGGCAGTTGCTAAGGTTCGCAGACTCCACGAACTGGTTTAAGGAGTGGGGGTTTTTGGATCCATGTGGTATCACAACGGGCCCTGATCGGGCCTAAGTATGCTGGCGCCCTCTGGGCCTAGCAGCCACTTAAACCTAACCTAGTTCCTAATATTTACATATAGTTCGTCATTTTGACAGTTTCCCAGTAAGTTCACTTCCAGCAACGTACACCGAAAATAAAATCTGCGTAAATATAACGAAAACTTGCGTAAATCTTGCGAAATTTTTCGTCATTTTGAGCCAACGAAAGTTTTCGTTGTTTGTACAAACTTGCTTCGTATAATGTGCGATTTTGCTTTCATTCTCCACACTATAAAAAATATATTACGAATTATAACACAATACTTTTATTTTGTTTTTATCGTTAATTTTAGGCGTTTTTGTTTAACAAAACGTTTTGCAAATACGCTTAACATTATTGATTAAAATATAATGAAAGTGTTGTGCTATAATTTTAGTCATGTTTTAATAGTGTTAATAATAAAGGCAATCATACTTTCTGCGAAAGAAGAAGAGTTTTCTGACTACACTGTAGTATAGAATTAATAAAACAAGGTTATTTCACCTATAATAAAACTTAAGTCTTTTGTTTATATGCATACGAATAGGTTCTATACTACATATTTTTGTTTTGCTTAGGCTTCATTCAATAAAGTATATTGATGCAAAGTGTTAAATATGAGACTCAACAAATCTAAATATAATAAGATATAAAATATGAAAGAATATAAAAAATACTGGTTTTACTTTCTTAAACATTATAATATTTTTACGTAGAGGCACTTGACAGATTCGCAGCTTTATCGATGTTTGTTTCCTTGACGACTATAAATTAAAGGAAAAGTCATACACGTACTTACTTTTAATTACATTAAGTAGTGCTCCAGGCTTAGGCTTGCTGTTAATAGGTAACTGATGAAATTGCCTATTTATCAAGTCCCACATTGCAGCGCAAGGCGCAGCGTAGGCGATGTTAAAAACATTGTATGCTTACAAGCATAGTATATCCACAGTTTTAATATTTAATTTTGTATTGTTTTTTTATCCAGAAAATCCCTTTTTAAAACGTTTAATATTATATTATACGTTTCACAGCAGCCAACAATTAATTCCGCAATGACGCGATTCAAAAAATATGATGAAATATTAAACTGCCGGTAATTGAGTATTTGTACGAAAATATTCGTATGTTGTACGAATTTAAAAAAACATGTTTCTGCATTAGTACTTGATACGAAAGTATTATCTAAATTGTACGAATACAGAATTGTATATTTCGTAAATGTAAAACCATACGCAAATATTACGAATGCCTTCCTACAATATACAAAATTATTCGTACAGAGATTTATTCAGTGCTTTACGAATGTGTTTCGTAAAATAAACGTAAGATTTCGTAAATTGTACTGAAAAAATGACTTACGAAAGTCCTTTCGTTATATTTACGTATGGTTCGTAAAATCTTGTTTCGTTGTGAAACATGTGTTCGTATTATGAACGAAAGTTTCGTACATTGTACAAAAACCAACACTACGAAATATTTTCGTAGCACTTTTACGAAATTTTATTTTCAGTGTATTAGGATTCTATTTTGATCTCCTTCCTCATGTAATCGTCAATTCAGT